GATCGCCAAGAATTCCATTCATGCATTATTTTCTTAGACAATGGCATTTCTTAATAGGATGCTTAAGGTATAGTTGTTTATCATCATTGAATCGATAATGTAACGTAATTTGATTATACCGATGTCAATGAGGTCACTGGACAATGAATAAACGGCATCAAAAAGATAGTATGTACTGTAGATTCATAGGAATTGATTTTTTATTAATTTTACACGATACATACATAATTGTTAATTCAATTGGCCAATCAAATAATAATGCGTTGTGGTATTAAAAGGAAGTCATGTACAACAAACTACATCAATATGCATAAATGTTATTCTTATTACAGAAGACGACGGCATATAGGAAGAATCCCAGCTTAAATCATAGTACATTGCTATTTACATACGTATTTACGCTCGACAAAGAGCATATTTTTTTTGATAACTTAGAAAAGAATTCTTAAAAGAAAATATTTTTAAAAAATTGGTTAAACGAAAACGTTGATATTTAATGTATTTCATAATGTCAGGAAGTCGACTAACAAAGCAAAAAACACGTTGTCATTCAAAGAAGCTTTGCAAGTAGAAGTCTATTCGGCCGCAATCTTCATTTATGTCGGTTGGTTGAAAATAATCTCGAAAGTGAAGTTGGTTAAAGTCATGTTGGAAGAAATGTTCAGGGTAATGATTTTCAGGAATATTCGAATTGTTGGCAAAATCGATCGGCGAATAAGGTACGCAATTGATATACCGCTCGTCAGGCATGAAATTATTAGTGTCCGAGTCATATAGAAAAATTTCGTTTGACGTTCCTATGACAGGGGTCGTTTCAGTTGAACTATCTTTGTTCTCAGACTCTAGAGAATTCCAATCGCTTGTTTCCTCCGAAGGGGAGGAGTGAATTAATCCCGGACAGACAGAAACAAACTCATATTGTCCAATATCATCACGTGGGTTCAGAATAGAAGAATTTTTGATGGATGAAATATGATCACCGTCAATAGTGATTCCAAGGGGATTATTGCTAGAACATTTAATATTTTGTTTGCGTTTTCGTGAAGATAATTTTGAATTTTTCCACACTACACGAATTGTCGATAAATCCTTTTTACGATTTTCAATCAACTCTTTCTCCACCTCTTGCGCAATCTCCTTGTAAGCATCTTTGACACACTTCGACTCTTTTTTCCAATAGATGCTAACTAACTTTGATACGTCGGTCATCTTGAGGTTATGATTAGAACGAGAAAGTTGGTCCAGGAATGCTTTACGGTAGACGAGAAATGCATTGGGACTTCTTAAGCTCTGAGAGGGTTTTCGCCTGCTCAAAAAATCCGAAGCAGTAATACTCGGTGGCCAAGGAAGCTTGATTATTGGAGTCTCACTAGTCATATGAAA